TAAATCCATTGTGGAATGCAGTTGCTGTGGTAATCTGTTATTCCCTAATTTCATGCTAATTGGTAAGGTCACATTTGGCTGATAGAATGGCTTTGAAGTTATTGCCTTGTTTAAAAAACAGCAGAGAGCGGGGCCCTTGCAGAGCCATGTGTGCACACACTGCTGTGTCCAGTCCAGCTCGTCAACTCTCTGGAGCCCAGCAGGACCCTCTGTGGGTTTTCCTTTCAGAGGTGTGTGAAAAGGAGTTGTTTAAATCAAGGGTTAAGTCTTTTGAAACCTAAATCCCTTGATCTTTTTCACCTGTGTGTTAGCTCTTCTAGTTGATCAGTATTGGGCGCAGGCCTGAAGGTCTCCGCACCTGGGAAGGCTGCCCTGCTGCTGGTGGGTCTGGGTCAGTGGGATCTGCTGGGATTGGGAGTCTGTCCATAGGAACTGCTTTGCTGTTAGTTTACAGTAAGGTAGGATGCAGAGCCATGCTTACCTTTTGTAGGAGGAGGAGAGATGCTCTTGTGAACTAGTGGCTGGGTGAAGGCTATGGAAAAAGGGGGGCAGTAAGAGCTGGCAGCTTGGAGGCAGTTTGGGTGGGATCCAAGGGGGCTTTAAGGTAGGATGAGCCTTGGGGGGTGCAGGGGAGTGGGCTGTTGTCTGACTGAGAATGTGAGGAGGTGCCAGTGTTGTCTGGTTGTGAAGCTCACTTTCTTTTAACCCCTTTTCAAACAAGAAGAATCTTTTAGTATTGATTTAGAGGATAATTCAGCAGTGAAACCTCGGGCTGGGAAATGCCTGAGTGAAGGCAGGTGTGCAGCTCAGGTATTGCTGGGGCCACCTGCCTGGAGCCATTCCCATGCCCTGGGCTGCTCCATGTTCTCACTGGTCTCTGCAAATGCAGAGGAAAAGCAGCCAGACTGATGGGCAACATTCTCTCCCCGTCACTCACTGCCTCTCTTAAAGGCAGGAGCTTGATGTTTACAAAACCAGGCTCCTGTGGTGCTCGCCTGGGGAAGCTGGGGTGTTAGCTGGGGTGTTGGCTTGGGTCTGCCCCTTCCTCGAGTGGATTCCAAATCCCAGCTCCTTATCCGAGTTGGCCGGGATAGTAGTCCCCTCCTACTGAAGCAAAAAGCAGAGTTTCTCCTGAGTTCGATGGAAGAGCCGTTTGCTTCCAGAGAGCAGCACTTGCTGCTTCACCCAGCTCCTCCTTCTCCCTGCCCTGGTCAGAGCCTTGCGGCGGCATCACCGGCGTTTCCATGGCGACAGACCGTGTAGTCACACGCGTGGGCAATAGCATCAGGACAGTGATTTCATTGTAACTCTGAAGTTATGCTGGGCTGGGACTCGGTCAGGAGATCTTCCCCAAACCCCCCAAGCACCAGGTCCTGACGCAGCCGCCACGATGAGTCAGGCCCGGCAGCCGCTCCCCTGCCCGAGACGCAGCCTCAGCCCCCGGGCCGGCCCGGCACCGGCGAGCAGGCAAAGGGGCCCGGCAGCCGCGCCCCTGCCCGAGACGCAGCCTCAGCCCCTGGGCTGCCCAGGCACTGCAGAGCAGCCAAGGTTTTCGTCTCTGCGGCATTGCCCGCATTCCTGTGCCTCTGCCTGCTGTATTGATGATTTGCCATCGAGGGGGGGGGGATGGGCGGGGAGGACACTATTTTTGCTCTGCAGAAGGCTGTGGGTGTTGTCTGCTTGGCAAAGGGCGCTGGGTGAGCGATCCCGGCTCAGCCCCGCAGGGCAGCGCTCTGGGCAGGGCAGGACACGCTGCAGCTTGTTGTGTGTCAGCGGTGTTGTTAGTACCAGGTATGTGGATGCTCTTGGAGGGTGAATGCCAAGGGTGAAGGTGCTCGTTTAAACACAGTGTTTCAGGGAAAAGTAAAGAAAATGTAGGTTATCTAAAGCCCAGTTTTTAATCAGCAGGGAGTGTGGGTGGTGGTGGCTTTTTGCTAGTCAGAAGACTTTAAAAATTAACCTGCACATAAAAAAATGTGTGCCTTCCCCATACCCCTCAGGGCAAATCTACACATGCTAGCTTTGCTGCTCAACATGTGTTTTGAGTTGTAATTGTTCACCTTTTGTCTGTGTATCTGGCACAGATGAGGGAGTTCAACGTGTGCAGTGGGGACGGCTCTCACTGTAGGTGTTGAATGGGGAAATGAAATGGTGCCTGTTCTTTGATGTGGAGGTGTCTGGCCTGGAGAGCTTTTCTGTGCTCGCTGGTCACCGTATGAATCTGCCTTGGGTCCTGGCATCGACCCTTGCTCTGCTTGGTGCTGAGTCTGCTGCCTGGCATCACCTTAAATCAGAGTGGTTCTTCTGAAAGTGGTGGGAGTGATGTTTTGTGTGACTGCAGAGGGTGTGTTACTCTCCTGAGTCCAAAGGAGTGATGAGTTTTCTTCACAGTGAATCGTAGCATCGATATCTGGGCTTGATGTGTCAGAGTTTGAGTGGTGTGAATGACACACTAATCTGGTGAGGGCCAAAGCTCTGATGTCTGAGATCAATGACACTGAAAATGTTTGGCTCAAAATTCAGTTATTCATTGCTGTTTCCCCCATCCCCAAAACAGCTGTGTGCTGGGATTAAAAGCCAGAGGGAATCTTAAGAAATCTGCAAACTGGACTCCCCCACTCATCTCCCACCCTGTCACATAGACATTTTGTGTGTTGGTTTGTTTGGTTGGCTGTCAGTGTTTCCCAATAAACATGAAGGCTCAGCATTTTTTTTTATTAAGTTTCTCCAGGTTGTTAAAAACATTGAGCACAAAAGGTAGCAAACAATCACTAGAGGATTTTGCTTTCACACTAAGAAACATTTAAAACTGAAAACAAACAGAAACCCTTTGAAATTAAATCAGTGTCTCTCTGCATGCAGAAGTTTCACAATGACCTTATGCTGCTACTTTTGCTTTATGTACATTGTTATTTGATCATGGGAAATGGTGCCTTGTGTAGTGTGGGAGTTAGAGAAAATGCTGAAACAGTTATTTAAATATCTAAGTGAAACCCTCTTTGCCTACGACACACTGATCTGTGCCCAGGAGTGAGCAGGATGTGCAAATTGATCTCAAACTGTGGAGCAGTTTCATGTGTTTCCTGCTGGATCCATTGAAATCTTTAAAAGCTTATACAAGTCCTGATAGTGTTCTGCATGCTTTTGTGTAATGACAAATATTATTCAGCTCCCAGGCTGGGGAGGCTACAGGAGCTGATGTACATTGAGGGATCTGCCCTGGTGTGACTCTGCTCTCTCAAGTGCCACTAAGCACCTGATGGGGTGCAGGGAAGAGATCAGACCTGGGCTTGGAGTGGGGATTCTGTGTTGTTTAGATGCATCCCTGTATTCTGCAACCTGGGCATGGTTTGCAAGGCTGATAATCTCTGAAAACTGAGGATTTTTTGCACCACGAGAAGGGTTTGCACTGAACATTTACCTGTTATTGTGTATTTTATAATCCCTCTCAGGCCAAAATGTTCCTTGAGCTGAAATTGCAAAGTAATTGCCTTTAACCATGGGGCTGGATCCTTTCTGTCTTTTCTAATTCATATTTATGAATGTGTTTTCTGATCATCTGGTGCTTTCTCATTTGAAACCTGTCATCAAAACTTGTTGACATGATATGGAGCCAAACAAATCATCACACAGCAATTGTTTTAAAATGCAATAGTTTGAGCTCAGCTTTGGTTTCACAAAGCCATTTCCAGCTGCACTTTGTGGAGAAAAGGTTTTTCTCCCTTCACCAAAAGCTGTTCCCCAGCCTTATGGCTTTATGTAGACCTATTTGAAAGTGGTTTTATGACGTGATGGTCTCAATCCAGTTTCTAGTTGACAAAAGTTGACCAAAGTCACAACACCCTAATTGGCACAAAGGGGTACATCTGTCAGAAGGAGTGGGAAGGCCAGCACGGCAATGGGCAGAGATGTGGTGCTGATCCCTCTAGCTCAGAAAGCTGGAGCCTAGCTCGGTGATGTAGAGGTGTTGGCAGTGCTGCTGTCCATGCTGCATCTGCCCTGAGCACTTGAGCTTCCCTGGCTCTTAATCCAGTACTTTTCACAAGCATCAATTACAGTTAAAAAGAATGAAGCAAATATTTATCTAAGACCAGATCACAACCAGTTTATAAATATGCATAACTTTTTTTAATCCATGATTGCTCAGCTTCTGTAATAATATTTATAGTCTTAAAGAGACCCTTCTTTTTCCAGAAGAACCGACTCCACATAAAACCAACAGCCCACCCTCTGGAGTTACATACGCTCATGATGTCTTGGACTGTGGCCTCAAGCCATGCCCCCTGCCTTTTCCTAGCCTTTCTGCAGATCCCATGGGCAGATATGGACAGCCAGATAGCATAGGGACAACACCTACATACCCTGCCAACGCTGCAGGGGCCTCTGCTCCAAGCCCTAGGATTGAAATTACTCCATATCATGAACTGATTCATTCAGGGGGTCCCTTCCGCAGCAGAGACACAGATGTTCTTTCGGTAGAACATCAGTCAAACTCAGCTACCACTAGCCCAAGGGTTACCCTGCCTGTCCCTGGCTTTGAGGGCTACAGAGAACCACTGTGTTTGAGCCCAGCTAGTAGCGCCTCCTCTGCAAGTTTCATTTCAGAGACAAATGTATCTCCTTGCACATCACCATGTGTTTCACCAAATAATGGTCCTAGTGATGACCTTTGTCCACAGTTTCAAAACATCCATACTCATTATTCTCCTAGAACCTCTCCAATAATGTCACCACGAAAAAGCTTCACGGAGGAAACCTGCTTGGGACGACATTCACCATCACCCTGTCCCAACTCAAGGTCTTCATCACCAGGTGCAAAACGGAGGTACTCTTGCACTGAGCTCTACAATACTCAGCTGCCTTCCACTTCTCCACGACAGTCAAGGACCCCCTCTCCACAATCCTCTCCCCGCATCCCCTTGAGAGAAGACAACTCTTCAGTTACTTACACACAGTTGCCCAGTGCTTCTCTTTCCATGGATGCTATGAGCAGCCTTCCTACGGATCCTTCCTGTGGTGTTCCCACAAAGATTTGGAAAACCAGCCCTGATCCTTCATCAATGCCTTCCCACAAAAACAGCATTCCATGCCACGTCTTTCAGACCGTCGACTTCCATGGGCCTTGCGAGCAGGAGGACAGGAGAAACTCAGCCCCAGAATCAATTTTGTTGGTACCTCCCTCCTGGACAAAGCAACTGGTGCCTGCAATACCTATCTGCAGGTATGTAGTGCTGCTTGTGATTGTGTGTTTTGCTTGTAGTGTAACATCCCTTGTCGTGCATAGTGATCCCTAGGGAGCGTTTCCTTGGGCAGATCCTGCTGCAGACCAGATCTAAGTGCTTGGGGATAGCACTGGTTAATGGCAGCCCAATCCATTACAATTCCAAGAGATGAAAAAATTCTGAGTTTGGAAAAACATCATCCGAGTAGTTCACTGGTAGCACAGCGTACAATAAATCCAAATTTCTGAAGTACTTGTCTGAAAAAGCAGATTGCAGACAGCCTTTGACAAAGGCTAAACACTCTGGTTCCATCCTACTGCTATTAAAATGGCCTGATGGCTTTTCCAAATTCAGAGAATGTCTCGCTTATAAATTTCCATCAAGGATGAAATACTTTAAATATTTCCTGATGCAAAATAGAACACACTGCTCCAAGTCAGACTGAGCATTCAGTCAACCCCAAGTGACTTATTGTTAGTTGATAATTTGTTAATTGTCATTTAACCCAGATCTCAGTTGTTGGCATTAATCTCATCAGCTCCCTCCATTGTCTGGCACTGGCATGTGGCAGGTCTGGACCCTGAGTCCTGCTTGCCTGCCAGGATGGAGGTTGCCAAATGTGTGACTCCACTTGAAGTCACCACTGGCACCCTGTCAGCCCTGCCATCCTGCTCGGCAGAAAGGTTGTCCCCATGCTGATGTTACCCCATGCTGCTCCTGACCTGC